AAAAAAAAAAAAAAAAAAAAAAAAAAAAGTAGTGTAAGGTGGTAAGGATTGAGAGTCAGGTACATGGAGTCCAAAGTGCTGGATTGAAACCCACTTCTTACTTCTGTGTCTCTCTGGTTTGGGTTGGTCATAGTGGCCAGACCCATTTCTGTGCTCAACCCTTCTGCTAACGGTCTCTAGAGGAGCCCACATGCTTTTTCAAATGCTGGTCTCCTCCTGGGGCCAGGATAAGTTCTTTTCTTCTTACCACCTCAAAACCCTGCTTCTTCCAAAACCTGAGTCTTAGAGAATTAAACCTTTTTATCTAATGGCTTCTACTTTAGTAAATGGGTTCACTAATTGATTAAATGATCCACTTAAATATCGATTCATTCATTCCTTTGACAAACATTGACCTCGAGGGAGTTCTGTAAAAATTAAGTGAAATACTGTAAGTGAGGCTCCTAATCCAGTGCCCGACACATTGTTAATGAAAACATTTATTAAGTTCCTACTCCGTGCTAGGCAGTAGGGGACACAAAAATAAGTAAAGAATGTTTCCCTACGTGTAGATTTAGACCTGTTCTAGAAATGAAGAAGCAGAGACTCATAGAAGTTATATAAATAGCCCAAGACCACAAAGCTGAGCCCGTAGTCACACCGGGGGCTCTTGCTGGCCTTGGAGCCCATGCTCCTTCCATGCCTCTCCTGTACCTCCACAGACCAGGGTTTTCCTTCATGGACAGAAGGGAAATTACAGCACTCTTAGCAGACCCAGCTCCTTCTTCATCCAGCCCAAGGGACAGTCATTTGACCTGAAATACCTTTATCCGCAAAATCAATTAGTATCTGAGAAAGGGAGAGTCAGCTATTTTCATAGATACAGGGTAAGAAGCAAAGGGATCCTGACTTGGGATAAAGTAACATTTCTGCTTGGGTTATAGCACCATCATGTGGCTCCTTTATTTCTGCACGTTGGCGGCTGCAGGGTGTAGGAGTAACGTTCCTTATGCACGCCAGGTTTTGGGTTGAGGCTGCAGTTCCCTTGGGAGACAGATTGTTTCTCATACATGCCATTCAGAGATCCCCAGACTTTTCAGTGGCCACATGTGGGTTTTGAAAAAAGCCGAACAGGCAAGGTGGCTTTTAAGACATCGAGGAACGCTTTCCCTAGAACCCCAACTATTAATGTGAAAACACACAATTTAGTGCCTGTTTTCAAATAAATGCATAAAATTTCAATTAATAAAAACCAAATGCACATTTGTTTTTTGTTTGCATTATTCCTGAGGTAAAGTGTGGTTTTAATACAAGGCTGATTTGGCATCGGGGGGAGACACTGGGGAGAATGCTGAAGAAATAATGTCTCTCCCTCTTCCAGACATAAAACAGTGGATCCCCTCCAAGCAAAGAGTTGGTGGCACTTTGGATTCAACAAGTCCAAAATAGGAAACAGAACTAGAAATTGGTTCCTTGTGATTAAAATGTCCCATCTCTATTTCCATGTTTCAGAGAAAAAACAGGTGCATTAGAACAGCACTCAAGCAGAACTTCCACTTTGATTCAACTATAATCTTGAGCCTTGATAGCAGAAAGTATACCTAACCTATTTGAGCACCCCCAGGTCCTAGCTCATGTGGGTTCGTGCACACAGTAGGTTCTTCGTACGAAATCACTGCACGAGAAGTCTGCTGTTACTGAATATGGAAGATGGCTTCTGGTACTAACTAGGTGTGTGTCCATGGGCAAGTGCCTTTACCTCTTTGGTCCTTGGTATGAAAAAGGAAGGGGACAGACCAGGGAGCACCAAGTTCTCTTCCAGCTCTGACCTTCTAGGGTTATAAGGAAAAAGGAGATCCTGGTTCACTGATTTCTATTTAGCACTTAGAGAGAGCTGGACACGCTATGAGATAATTGCAGGATTCTTAGTCCTTGAGTGTTGGAGATGAGGGCTCAGCTTTAGTCCTGAATTGCAGAACTGTCAGATGGACACAGCACAGGCAACAACATCAGCTAGAGGCTAACCCAAATGAACCTGCTCTTCTGTCCCTCTCTTTGACATTTCAGTAATCTTGAAGAGGTACTGTCTTACAACCGGTGTGACTGTACTGGTAAACACTAATGTCACCATTTGTACTTTTAGTTCTAATCTTCCCTACCTCATGTATGGAAGCTACTTTCATGGTAAATAAGCAGACCAGGTCAGATGCCAGTGATTTCACATTAAGCCTCTACATGTATTCCCTACTCTGATCAAAACTGGGAGGTTTCTCTAAAACACCCTGAACTTTCTTTCATGTGGGTCGTTGATCAAGCTATTCTCCTGGCTGCAAACTCTCTCTTCTACCAGCCAAATCATACCCATCCTTGAGAGCCAGATCAAATATCCTAGGTCTTTATCTTTATCTCAAGAATGGGATATCAAAATCCCACACATCCTTCAGAGCCAGGGCAAACACCCTCCAAAGTTTCTTCCACTGGTCTCACTCCTAAGTGTGAGATGTTCGAAAGTGCAGGTTCTTTGGAGTCAAGTACAAATAAATGCTGGCTATTCTTTTTCTTCTTCGGACTCAGAATCTCAGTTTTCCATCTGTTTAAACGGGTAAAAAAATATCTACCTTATCTGGTTGTTCTGATCGTTAAATAAGATATTATTTTTGGGCTTCCCTGGTGGCACAGTGGTTGCGAGTCTGCCTGCCTATGCAAGGGACGCGGGTTCGTGCCCTGGTCTGGGAAGATCCCACATGCCGCGGAGCAGCTGGGCCGGTGAGCCATGGCCGCTGAGCCTGCGCATCCGGAGCCTGTGATCCGCAACGGGAGAGGCCACAAAAGTGAGAGGCCCGCTTATTGCAAAAAAAAAAAAAAAAAAAAAGATATTATTATTGAACGCCCTCTGCCTCACAACAAATCAGTATTTTTTCCTTTCTTTCTTCCTTTCCTTCCTTCCTTCCCCAACTCTCTTAGCATTTTTAAACCTAATTTGTGAAAAAGATGGAATTCTTCCCTGAATATTTTTTGCCCTTTGCCTGGTTCAGCATAAGTTTCCGGTAGGTGAATACTGTATCTGTGTTCCCTCATAGCCCTTAGAACAGTATCTTTATTTAGTAATAATTTAGTAAACGTCTGTCAAATGAATGATTAATATTTCCGGCACTAATAGGTAAAAAGAGAGGACTTTTGGGCTGGCCTAGAGCATACGGGCTGGCCTAGAGCATACGGGCTGTCCATTGGGAAGTTTGGGGCAGAAGCCAAGGATATTAACTTCCACATGGAACCTGATGTTTCTGAAAGGTGAGAGGTCTTTGACCTCAAGCTTCCAACTTACAGAGTCGTCCATGCCCAGGAGGACAAGCAATGGGATGGTGGTCATCCCTCCGTGGACCCACTCCTGGAGAGACACAAAGCCATCCCGGTCGTAGTCCATCCCTTGTAACATCTCCTTCAATATCTGTGGAATCCATAGAGCAACCACTGTCCACTTTGATCTTCGACTTCTCCGCCCCACCCCTGCCCCGCCCACCCTGCCCTTTTCTTTCTCTTCTGTTCTATGTTTTCTGGCTTGTGTTTTATCCCTTTCCCCTCTGATTCGGAGTGAGTAGAGCATTGAGGGAGCAAATGGGGGTGAGGAGAACAGGGGTCCAGGCCTGGCTCTGCCCTGACCTGTGTGGCCTTCGACAAGCCACCCCAACTCTCTGGATTCTGCTTTTCTCATCTGTAAAATGGAATTAGTATTGCTCTGTTTGCAGCATGGTAGTGAAGATTAGAGAAAATGTATATAAAACGCTAAATATTATATCAGACTCATAGGAGCCCCCAATGTAATTATTATTATTATCTAATGATTGAGAAAAATCTTTAAAAGTCTTTCTAGCTCTAAATTCTCTGATCTCTGAGCTCCTGTTATAAAAATTTAGCTTTGGTGAAAGCATTGGGGGGTATTATTATTTGAATTAGTCTACACTTTCCCCTGCTGCCTCTAATCTTTCCTATCAGGGAAGTGGGAGATCAAGGTGTAGGACCCAGAGAAGTCACCTCTAAGAAGATGATCTGGGACAGCCTGCACCATAAACATGTGTTTCCAAGTCCCACTCTCATCTTGGAAGCTCATTGGAAAGTCACCCCTTGCTTTTGGAAACTCACAGGCCTTAGCTCCGTGGGATCCCACTCGAGATACTGGGCAATGTGTAGCATCTGGTTGACAATACGATCCATCTCCTAGAAAACATCAAGGAGAGAAGCCAACTGAAGATGGGCTTTTACAAGCAAGACTCAATATCAAACCCCGTGGGAAGATGGGCAGGGCAGAGTGTGAGAAGCAGCTGGTACAATATACTGGCATTTCATCAAGCACTCACTATTTGTTTTTGCTCTTTATTTCTGCCTTGACCACAAAGCTCACAAGAAACACAGACCGTGGATAAGCCAGAGGTATGCAGAAAGCTCACTGAACACTGACCTCCTCCTAGACCGACCTTCCTTCCCCTATTCTGTGCTTTGACTTAGCGTAGAAAGCACTCCTGTTTCCTCCTTCTTTGTGATCCTACAAATACTTACAAACCAAGGCACTTACTTCTTCCCTCTTTTCCCACACCTCATTCCCACAGCTTTAGCAACTTGGGATTCATCTATACCCCTTGGGGGTCAGTTTCAGTTGGATGTAGAGCCACTGTGTTGGTCCTTTCTCAGGCACTATGATTCAGATTCCTTTTGGCATCTCCTTTGTTTCCTTTGTATCAAGTCCTGGGTCCAGGACTCTTGGAACAGGAAATTCATGAAGGGTATGTTTGCCTAATGAGTGAGCCTTTTGTTTGGTACCGAGGCCAGGCTCCATCTAAAACCTCACAGAATTGTTGGATGCTAATGAATCAGTGCACTGAGAGTCCCACTGAAACACACTGGACTGAGAAAGCATTTGCATGTCTTGAGCACCATCTAAGATGTTCATAGTAAGGTTGATTTGGGGACACAGATTGGAGAACTGAAGCAAGGTTTAAAGGTGTTACTTTCACCAGGCAGAATGTTGGGTCAAAATAAGCAAGCTAAAACCCAACAGGGATTTTTAAAATTGTATTTCATTTAAAGTAGAAAATAACCCATTGCAAAACTGCAGATGAAATGGTAGATGGGGGTAAGGAAGTGGGCAGAATGGTGGGAACAGGGCTCAGCAGAAGTTCCAATGGAAAAGAGCTCGTGAAACTAGGTGGGTCCAAGATTCAATGTGAGCAAACGATGTGATTCAGGAATGGAGAATGAGACTCAATCTTGGGCTGGGTAAATAGGTGGGCATTTTCAGGAAGCAGAGTGGGCAGATTTCAGGAAGGACTAGTTCCCTGATGTGGATACTTAAAGAGTCCTGGAGGGGTGGGCTCCGTTCTATGCCATATTTTAAGAACGGCATTGACAAACTAGAGCTTGACCGGAATGGAGATTTAAAACTTCCTTATGAGAAACAGTGTAGAAATTAGGAAGTATGAGCTTGGGGAAGATTTTTGGGAAGATGCGATAGTACCTTCAATACCTGAAGGCCTGTTGTGTACAACTGGTACCCCACTGGTCAGCTGCCCTGGTCAGCTATAGAGGGCAGAAATAAGCTGAGGGATGGAGGGAGGGAAGAGTTGAGGGTTGGCCTATTTTGACCTCACCACTGGGTTGGGGGAGGGGAGAGAAGAGCAGAATCAGGTTTTGTATTGAAAATTTCCCTGGCAGACTAGAGATGCCCTGTGTGCGGGAGGGATGCCTTCTCTAACAGTCATCCCCAGTGGTGGAGCGGCTGTTTTAAGGTACTGGGTGAACTCTCCATTACTGGGAGTGTTCACAAAGAGGCTGGGCATCCAACTGCCGGGGGGTCTTGGTGGGAAGTTGAAAGAGAAGAGAACTATTTTGAGACTCACTTCAGTCCACCAGTGTTACCTTCCAAATAGATCCAGAATTTAACCACTTCTTACCACCTGCAATGCTGCTACCCTGGTGCAAGTTACCATCATTTCTTGTCTTGCTTATTTTAATAGCCTCCTAACTGGTATTCCTGCTTGCATCCCCACAGTCTAGACTCAACGCAGCAGCTAGAATGATCCTGTTAGGACCTAAGTCAATCATGTCACTCCTCTGCTCAGAATCTCCAATGGTTCTCTACCTCTCCAGAGTAAAAGAGAGAAAACCCTTTCAATCACCTGTAAGCCTTGATAATGCTTTGCAAACGCCCCATCCCTTCTCATTACTTCTCTGATCTCATCTCCTACTACTCACTCCAACCTCATCTGTTCAGTCATCCTGTTCCACTCACTCTGGCCTCCTAGTTAATCTGCTAACATTCCGGGCATCCCTCAGGACCTTTGCACATGCTGTTCCCTCTGCCTGGAAGGTGCTTCCCCATGACTCACTCCCTTCACCTCCTTCAAGTGTCTGTTCAGATGTCCCCCCCTCAGGGAGACCTTCCTTGGCTCCTCCAGCTACAACTGCAGCTCCCTCCAATACTTCCTTTCCCTCCTTTATTTTCCCTCTAGCACACAGCTCTATCTAACACATGCCTGACTATGCTTTGCAGTGTGCGTGTTTGCACTAGAATGAAAGTATCACGAGGGCCTGCATCTTTGTCTGTTGGCTCACTGATACACCCCCCACCCCCAGTGCTTAGAACACTAGCCGACATATATGAGATACTCAATCAATATGTGTTGATCAAATGCTTGAGAGTCTGTGATTCTCTTGGTGGTTCCCTCGCATGACCCAGCTCACGGAACTGCAATGTGGCTGCAGGGATCCCATAAAGACACTCTGGGGTTGAGTGGGGACTGGGACGATGCAGTTGGTCTAGTGGACTGGTTCCCTTTCTTCCTCCCTTTGGTCTGACTCAGCCCCGTGCACTTCAACCTCAGAGCCTTTCTGTTAATGAGTCCCATCTCTGACACGGCCAGTCATGAGGACAGGGCCTGTCTGATTCTCTTTGCCTTTTCTCCTCTCTACCTTCTTCCTTTTCCATCCTTCTCATTCTATGACCCCTGACCTGTCCCTGCCTCTTCCTGAGGGGAGGTGGGGTTGAGACTCAGGCTTTCCCAGGTGTGGTGGGATGGGATCATGTGCTCAGAGCAGACAGAGCCAGACTCCTAGAGCTGGTGCCCTGGGGTATGAGAGGGAGGCAAGGGTAACGGCAAAGCACGCCAGCAGTTCCTTGCCTCCTCCTGTCTCCTTGCCCTGGTCTCTCCGCCTCTCCCCACCTCTCCTCCACCCCTGGGCTTCAGCAGGAAATTACAGGGGGAATTTCTGAACCAGCTGGGAAGTTAAACTAGACGAGATACTAAAGCATCTCCTCAACCTGAGATTTGCGATTTGAGCTTCTGGAATGAAAAAGCAAGTTGGAGTTCACTCTCCCCTGGGCGGGCTCTTTGGAAGTAGAAGGCGGGGGCTTCTAGTCATCTCTGCAGCTCATATTGAGACACTGCTATTCCTATGAAGATGGAGCTGAGAGTGTTTGGACTCTCCCTTCACCTGTTCCCCTCTCCCCCAGCCTTTCTTGGATCTTGGAGGGATATTTGGAGAGCTTACCGCTTGGTCCAGGAGACCATTCTCATCCGAATCATAGAGACGAAACATGACTGCAAGAAACACAGAGGTGAGGCTTGAGATGTCCTCCGGGTACCAGGGATGGGCTGAGACTTTGCTGCTGCCAGTTTTTAGATCCGTTCTGACAATCACTGGAGTGAAGTCCGCTGCAGCCAGTTCACCCACCCTCCAAGGCACAGAGTCTGACCTGTGCCTTGGGAAGAGGGAGGTGAACCAAGCCACCTGGCTTCTGGGACTGTCTAAGCAATGACTCTGCAGCTGATGAGATCTGGGTCACGAGCGTGATTCCCTGTAGAGCACTCACACCTCTCAGCATCACGGGAACACAACTCAAAGCAGATGCCCCGCTGGTGGTGGGGCAGAGGCACCACAGTTACAGACGGGACAGTGCTTCTACTGCACACAGAAAGGGTGTGGAGTTAGGCAGGTTCAGATCTTGGCCCTGTCCTACCACCTCTAGGGCATCACATAAGTCATTTATCCTCTTTAGACTCAATTTCTTCATCTGTAAGATGGAGATTATAATAGTTTCTTTATCCTAAGTTTTTTTCAAATGAAGATTAATATGTCAGTGATATGCTAAATCTATAGCACTTGGAATGTAGAGAGCACCCAACAGATGTTATTTATTTTTATTTTCTTTCATTAATGAATATTTAGATATGGCATTTAATATGTACAACGTACCATCCTATGCACCTTATCATTATTACTTATTTAATCCTCAATAATGGTATGAAGTAGTTATTACAGAAGCTATTATGTTTCTTTTTCTAAAAATGTCTGCATGCAATTCAGAAACATCCTCTACCATGTTCTAGCTGTAGAGAGGTGATGGAAGATAAGAAAGATTTGGGAGTGAATTTTGGGCAAACGACTAAATGTTCATTTATGGGATTTGGAAACTTGCCATTTCATTCATCTAAAAGGCAGAGATCCTGTCTGTGGTCTCAGAAGTAAGCAGGGTGGGGAGCAGAGCTGACTACATCTACATTTCCCTCCCATCCTTTAAAACCCTTCATCATGCCTGTGTTCTCTGTGGCTGACCCTTCCCTCGTGTAACTGCTCTGGACCACTTGGGATGTACCCACAGGGTCACACCTTGTGTTTATTCAGTGGTGTCTCTGGTTGGACTTTAAGTTATTTAAAAGTCATGGGCTTCCGATTCTTTGTGACTCCTCCAAATGTCCTGGTCAGAGACACTCTGGGCCCAGGTGGCTCTAACATGGAGCCCTCTTTGGTCCCACTGTGCATGAGGAGTAGAATGAGAAATTGTGAGCAAGCATCCTACTTTTTAGCAGCATGGTCTTGGGCAAGTCATTTAACTTTTCCATGCTTTCTTACATATAAAATGAGAACAATCACGTCAACTGTCTAGGGTTACTGTGAGGTTAAAATGAGAAAATGCATTTAAAGTGCTTAGCAAAAATAAGGTGTTCAGTGATTAGTTATCACTGTTGTTACATTGATGATGGGTGGGATTTCAGGCTATCATTTCCAAAAAAAAAATACATGCTTGGTTATCTAGAAAAAAAACTTAACTTGGTTTCAATCACTAAAATCAGAGATGATTTGAATTAATTTAATTTAATTTTTTAAAAAAGAAAACTTTATAGGACAAATGACCAAGTTTCTGCAACAAAAAACTGTAGGG